GGATTCGAAGGATTCAGGTGTGAAACAGGTAAGCAGATGAACTCTATATCTAACGGAAGCTTGGAAATGCTGTAAAAGATAATCTCAAATGATTCTTGGCTAAGGAAGAATGTAACGTCAGTCGTTCAAGCTTCGTGGTTCTGTGGAGTTTGCCTCTGCTCGCTATAGCGAGCGATAACTACGTTATGTATTTTATTTATGGTTAAAATACTGAATATGTGGGCCATTTGGGAGGTCTGGAGTTAGTTGTAAATGTCCTTCTGGGGTTAAAGGCATGGTATTTGAAGCAGGACCAGCTCAAAAATATGTCAGACTAGCATATTTTGAAGTATACAGTCGATAATCTGTTTATTATATGAACACATTCTTGCTATGTTTTCTATTGTGCCGATGCCGTGGATGATATAACTATGGTCCACACTCGTCAAGAGTAGTACAGTGTGATAAGTTGACACTCACTCGGATTGGTGGTTCTTGATCGGAGCTGGTTTATTTCAATTTGTGATGAGGAGGGATGACCCAATCCATAATATAGAATAAGCCCTGTCGACGAAATACATTTCATTCAAAATAATTTGAGATTACCCAGAAATTCATTTGATTGAATAAATATCAAGCCTACTACACAATACGTGTCATTACCAGCTGTTGCTAAAATAGAGAAAAACAAGTCTTAGCCTGGTATAACTCTGGCTAATTGTCTCATTCCAAGTACATGTAGCTGTTTGGTCGGTGCATGTACATGTAAGTCAGCTGTGGAAAACAAAATGAACGTGAAAACAATGACTATGACAACAGATAAAAATATCAACAAAACGCGTCCACTTACACTACACAAAGTAAAGTTGTACTGTGCGCACGAATAAGTAATACATGCACCACCTTACTTAATTTGTGTACTGTAGAGTACAATGCCCTTGTACAGTACATAAGACACAACACACATACTGAATTATAGCCTAGGCCTACCACTAATGTACACGACACGTTCATTTATCTTTGGACATTTTTGACCACTTAATACGAAAGGTACACGCAAAAATCTATGAACACATACCAAATATACAATAGTGACACCAATTAACATCTTCTATGCGTCTTACAGTGACACATCATGCCATATTTGAACACGACTTACCTCCAAAATTGCAAAACGTTGCCTGAAAGAATACACTGATTTATCGTTCTGTCAGTGGTGTGACGCACTGAAAAGAGAGGACAAGACCATGTGCGTGCTCTTCTGAGTTGACACACAACCCCTCATGATTCGTCAAAGATATTTAGGCCTACAATAAACAACACTATTGCTGACTATATGAATGGTAGAGGCATAAATGGAAAATGAATTAATAATTCTACCGATTTCACTCTTTAGAACTCGAGATTTAACCAAAATTATTCTCACTTTGGTTCAAAAAGGGATATTTTACCAAGGGGGGTAAGAACCCTAAAAAGAAGACGCAAGAACAGTCGGATAGATCAAGCTCTTCACGAATAATGAAATGTCTTGGGCTGAACAGAAAGTTTACATCCCTATTATTAATTTGAATATCGGATTGCCCGAAATATATATCGATATCCTGTACACACGCCTTATCATTACTCTTACCATGTTACAAAATGACAGGAGAACGAGTTAGCAAAAACATTTTAGCTGCTTTAAAATATTTTTTTCAGTGCGGCACGCGTAATACTATTTGGTAAAGAATATTGACGACAGGATCAGTGCCACAATGGCTTACTTCTACAACTCGTTAGGAAATATAAAGCATGAAACTCACAGCTGTCTTATAAAGAACACATCTCGGGATACCCTTAGATTAATTGCTCCCATAAAACCATTAATCGTTTATTAAATGCAAAGTCTTGTTTCATTATTAAACCGATTGTAAACTTTGTACCTGATTAGCTTGTCAATACGCACGCACTGAATACCAAGACAGTTTAAACAGCCCAGCTGTACACTATTTCTTGTATGGTATACATTTATAGCAAATATGAACATCTCTCTCGGGGAAAGCGAAACCGTTGAAGTCAGGTCGCCAGGCTACCCGGGCAGTTTTCCAAGAGGAGTATATATCAACTGGATTCTCCGGACGGAGGAAGACAGGAAGATTCTCGTTTCGTTTGGCAATCTCACCACTGATTACTATGACAACTGGAGGATTGGGAATGGAGATGTTATCAGTCAGTCTACCCTTCTGTCGTGGAGATACCGACGGCGTGAACTACCGGTTCTCCTTTCAAATGGAAGTGCCATCTGGATTTCGTTTTCTTCGTCCTATCAAACAAGAGCAGGATTTTCCTTTGTTGCGTCTTCTGTGCCATCCACAGGTATGAGAAACAGAGAACCTTGACTGAATTAATGCGTTTGTTTTATTAACATCTCTTTACAGTGTGCCTAAGAACTGATAACATATTCAAATATCTGAATATTGTTTTTTTCTTGTAGAAACACTGACCTGTTCTAGTGATAAATTTGATTGTGGAAATTCTGTTTGCATCAGCGGTCTCTTACAATGTGACAAGAATTATGACTGCATCGATAACAGAGACGAAAATTCCTGTGGTAAATATATTTATATTTGCTATCTTGTTACATCAAAATTGTTTCAAATATGTGAAATTGAAAACTGCATGGCCGTTATCAATAATAGCACTTTTACTCTTTTGGTAAGGGGCTAATACAGAATTTATAAAAACTGGGAAAATACAGCAATGATGCAACAGAATGCCCTACTTTTATATCAATACGTTTGCTCATGCAGGCCTATTCCTTGCACTATCGTAGTTATGGCACTTTTTAAACCTGTGTGAAATTAGATTCCAGTGCCAAGGTATGTCTCCCTTGTCCCGGTTGCAAAGTTAACCTGGCTAGACAACTGATTGAAAAATGCTATCGGTAATGAAAATGGACGTTTTCCGTATAGGCTGTGATTCTGTCACCTGTCTGAACAACGGAACCTGTTCAGATTACAACGGATATTTCTCGTGCAGCTGTTCTGAAGGCTTCAGAGGAAGATTCTGCGAAAAAGGTAAATAAAATCCTTGTGACAACTGACTGTTGCAATACATAGGTAAATGAAACATGAACATGTATTTTTCCTTATGAAGAAAAGTGTATCACGAACAATATATGCTCTTTGCTAAGCGTTTCCTTACTGATATTTCGTAAAAATGGTTGTACATAATTTGTTTGGGGTATTTCTAAAGAGCTCTTAGGTTGAACGTTGATGGAATGTGTGATTTTAGCACATTGTGTAAAAGTGTAGAAAGAGGTTATATGTTGGGTATACAAAAGTTTGTAAAGGGTACATGCATGTTTAGCATTATTTGCTGATGGAGACAGGCACTCCAAAGTCTCACAAAATAACCTGCAGCATTTATATTAACGGAAATTATTTGGAATTAAAATTCAGAGCAGATGTACTTGTCCCCATTTGTCCAATTCTAGGCCCCCCAAATCTGTTAATTGAATGAGGAGGATGCTTGATTTTCCTAGTTGATAAATAAAATAAAAATCCAAGGTCATTTCGCACATAGTGAAACATGATTTGAACAGAGCTTTTTGTTTTTCAAAATGTAAGCAATTTTACATCTAATTACTAAGGTTGGACAACCAAAGCGAGAAGCATAAAATGCAAAGTTCAAGAAGCATTTAAAGTTTGTTTTCTTTCTTATGTGCCTCCAGTGGTATTTGAGTGCGAAGCTTATCCGAACATTTTCGAAGAATCTGACAGGTGTGATGGAATCATTCAGTGCCCAAACGGCGATGACGAAAAGGGTTGTGGTAAGTAAATATGAAAGCAACGGAAATATTTGCAGTGTCTGTTCAAATGTACAATAACAATCTTAAATACCCCGGAATTCATCTCCAAATGCGTTTCTGGTGGTAATTTTTTTTTCAATGTTTTGTTAGAAGATAGCGATAACATTCATTATACTCCAGGAAAAAAAAGAAACATGTTTGTGTTGAGTGTAGATTGTGTGTTGAAATTCGAAGGGCGCCTGTCGTGTAATAGTAGCGTCTAGGCGAAATGGGGTGGAGCAGTGAGCCAGAACGAAGATCCAGAGATTTCCAATCATTGCGGGGGGCAGCCCGCCAAATTCATTGGCCATTCAGCTCAACAGGTTTAGGTCAATGCGAGTGAGCTGATCAGCGGCATGCTTCGCTCATGCTTCGCCAGCCACTTTGGTCGCAGCTTCAAGTTTGAGCAATCAAACCACGTGGTTTTACCTGGTTTGCCCGCTTTCCTTCTTTTTGAGTTTCAGTATATAACTGGGTTTATAACTCACCGTAACATCCCAAAGTTGATACATGATCAAACTTTGTTTTATAGAGTGTAGTGGGCACAAGTACCGATGTCGTGATAGTATATGCGTGGGTCAAGCCGATACAGAATGTAATGGCATACCAGAGTGTCTGGATTATTCAGATGAAGGAGTTGCCTGTAACACAGGTAGGTGAAAATCATTCACTTTTCCTCCCGCTAGGAATACCATTTATTAAAACCTGTAACCATTCCAATACTAGCAATTCGATCGATTTGTCAAGAGTTGGGACATGTAGCTAGAAGAAGTCTTCAATGCTTGTTTGGGTCACCGTGTTATTTCTAAACGGCATCACTAAATTTTATTTCTACAGGTCCCAATACAATTGCAATGCGATTTTAAATAGGAAATTGAAGTAACTGAAATTTACAACATCTGATTGAAAGGCTCTACAATGCTGAGTTTTATACATCGACATTTCTTGTATTTCATGTAGCCTACTGCCTAGAAATCAGCAATGAGGCATGCACAGCCATTCTGGCCTACAATTCAACCTACTTTCCGAATGACTTCGTGTCATCCCATCAACAAGCTGACGACCTCATTGCTCAACATCTGCCAGAGTTCCTGACCAACTGCTCTAATGATGAGAGACTTGCTCTGTGTATGTCGCTCTACCCGGAGTGTCCTCAGTTTGGTCCCGATCCTAGAGTGTGTGCTTCGCTGTGCTCCAGAGCTGTAGAATGTGCCGGTCTGGAAACGAACTTTACATCGTTGCAGTGTGATGTATATCCCGACAATGGTGTATTGTCGACTTCAGAAGGCTGTCTCTATAGCGACGAAGGTAAATTACATATCTTTATAAACTCTTTGTGTGTTGATCCTAGAAAGTTGAGGGCTTTTCACAAAAATAGGAACTAGTCACACTAGTAGAGCTTAGATTCTCACTAGATTGGAAACTGTAGTGGTTATTGGTGCAGTGAAATTGGCGGTGGAGGCTAAAGTAGGCCCAGGTAGCACTACAATAGTACGCCACAATGGCGTACAGAGCATTTCATCTGGGCCTAGAAGTTTATAGTTTTTAATTTTTAATTTCTTTATCAGGTCTCCAGACTCGATTATAAAATTATCCCTTGAAATTTCCCAATGAATTTCGGATACCTTTCGTAAACACGTTGCATTATTTCTAATTTATTGCATTGTAGATGTGCTACAGTCAGGAGACTGTGGGCGTCGACCAGCGGCCTCGCCTTCTCTCAATCCTTTCAGTCGTATCATTGGTGGAGCTGAGACACACATTGGCAACTGGCCTTGGATTGGTTCATACCAGGCTCGTGGTGGATTTCACTTCTGTGCCGCTACTCTAATTAGCCCACGTTGGGCCATCACTGCGGCTCACTGTGGGTGGGTGATAAGTCTATTTTTTCCTCGACTTTAACCCTTTGATTTTACTGTATGTCACTACCAGTCTGTCACTCCCCGTACCACACGGTATACCTGTGCACGCAGCGTGTGACGGAAGCTTTGTCCGTTTGAAAGTGCACAGAGCAGATGCATACATAATTTCAAAGACAAATTAGTAAAAAAAAATCCCGGTATTCCTTATCGCTCTGCATATTATATTCGTATGGATCGATCAGATATTTTTAAGAGCAAATGATGAATTATTGGAAGATAGCGTGTTGCACAACTGCCGCTGCTGGGTGAATAAAATTTCTCGTATTTCTTTTGGACGGAAGTCAACGGAATTTAAGAAGTTCTTCTTTGCAACGATATTCATGGCTCCCTCATTACGTGTCGTGTCATGTGTACAGATTTCATGCCACGGTACGCAAGTCTGGAAATCCTTAACTTGGGGGATTAAGATCTGGCTAAAGGCCTGCCCTTGATACAGAGATAATACTTTACGGGGAAAGAGACCATTGCAAACACGGCTTATGGGTCCAGTTCCTAAAAGTGCCTGAAAGTCGGATGCTCTTGTCATGCAGTTAGTCGATTCTCACATGACTACACAGGAAACAGTATAAGTGAGCTAGCTAATGTTCAGTCTGTAAATTAAAAAGATCTGTCTGGACATGTGAAAAGTACTTTAATAACTAAAAATTTTATGACAAATCCTCGTATAGTTATTGTTATGTATTCTAATTTTTATTTTATTTCTCATCCATAGTTTTCAGCGTCAGCTGGTATTCGGTAGTTCGCTGTTTAATGCACCATCTGGTTACCAACACGTCTACCGTGTTGGCCAAATCTTCATCCACCCGGGCTATAATGCTCCGCGATACCACAACGATATTGCACTTGTAAAACTCACCTCCCCCGTATCGTACACCGACACCATCCAACCAGCTTGCTTGGAAACCGACGACAATGAAGTCGACAAGTACGACACCTGCCACGCAGTGGGATGGGGCAGCACATTTTTGGGCGGTAGGCTTATCATGATTCTGCAACGTTGTATGTACCATTTCTTCGCAAACAAGAAATTACACGACATCTATGCAATTTATAAAAAGGTAGACAAATTAGGTCAGGATTTAGAGTAGAGAATTTGGAGTATCGAATCAGATGCACATTATGCGTGTATGTTGTGCATAGACAGAGACGATTTCGCAATTTTATCGAAGGCATTGTAAGTAACAGTTGAAAAGTCTTTCCTTTGTTTAAATCCGCCTTGAATAGAAGCACCCCCGCCCCCTCATTGCTGATGAGGCGTGTTCGTTTGGTTAGACAGCGAAGTTGAGGTCCTACCAATGGAGCCTCCATCCCTCGGAAAACCGCGCAATGTCTTGGTCCCACTTGGGGCCCATATCGAATCATTAGACCTTCTCTTTGTACGGTGAATCAGTCCGGTCTCCAGCCAATAAACAGATGGCTGATACGTTTTGATTTCAAGATCAACATCTACTTTTTTTAAAATCTGTTGACAGGTCGTTCTTCTCCAGTGTTGAAAGAGGCACGGGTGCCGCTTGTGTCCTGGGAGCAATGCAAGAGTTATGACGACGCCCGTGAAAACCTTTTCATCTCATCCGATCAGATTTGTGCGGGAGCTGGGAATGGAACTAACAGAACATGTCACGTAGGCCTACGTACAATTTACCTCTAGTATTCATAGAAATGAGGTTTCTATTGTTCATACCTTCCAGTGTATGAATTAATGAAATTATAGGTTTATCCAAAGTCACTTTAATGCAAAAGTTGAAAATTAGGGAAAAAATTCAGAAACAACATGCACCACCACTAACAAAAACAGTATCTCAGCAGCTCAAAGTAGTAGTTACTGCAGAAGTGCATAAGAAGGAGCTAGCCAGAGAGTTGCAAATTGGAGTCACCTGGCTTGGATTCGAGTCACTATTTTGTTGACTCGTGACTTGACTCGTAACTGTCAGTTTTTGACTTGTGACTTGACTTGCTACCAAACATCAAACACCAATGTGAACTTTAAATGTCTACGTAGGGTGATAGTGGTGGTCCTTTGATCTGTCGCGGAGCCAATGGACGCTGGAAATTGGTCGGGATCACAAGCACAGCCAGTGCATGCGGTGCAGCATCCCCCGGTGTCTTCACCCGAGTGTCTCAGTACATTGACTTCATCAGATACACAATGGCAAAAGGTAAATCAACCCTGTCCATCAGTAAGGTCTCGGGACTCGATTTAATTTGGAGCTTTTTCAAATGAGGTACAGAATCCGTTCTGTTGTTTGTAAACATTTATTGGCAGAAATGCAGCATAATCTGAGTGAAACGTTGCGCAAAATGTCAACACTTTTGGCAGGTGAATTTGTCTGGCCGTCAGCTCAAGTACTTTGGACATGTTCATATTTCAAACCATCTTACTCAAATATGTTTCAGAAATTGTCCAACGCAACGAATTTCCTTCTATGTTAAATGATAAATGAAGGTCAATCTTTGTCAGTGTTGAATAATTGAAATAAAACAGGATTTCAGCCGTGTACTGCCAATGAGTTTGACTGTGGAGAGACTGTATGCATTGATGGTCGCTCAAGGTGCAATTACCGGGAAGACTGTCATGATGGAAGGGATGAAGAACTTTGCGGTAAGTTTAAATTTATTAACTCAGGAACCGTATGTCCCAGATATTAGACCAACAGCATCTAAAACTGATGTGACACGTTTTCTATAGACTGATTTCATTACTCCGTACATTATTACAAGCAGTCAACGTTGGTAGAAATATTGTTTTTTGTGAGATTTTACCCTTAATAATTAATGTACATATGACCCAGTATACTTTCCCAGAGCGTATCGTTAAGTATTAGTGCATGTATTAGTCCCATGTGTTTGATAGTTGCCAGATTATTCACACGTATTGAGTTATTCGTTTTCTTTTAGACTGGCAGCCTGTCAGTCATTAATAGCTCTGTGACGTAGAGATATCTTTTCTTGAATTTCAATGAAAAATTCAAATCATCAAAATTGCATAGTATTTACAGACACGTACGGCGCATCCACTTTCCCTTGCTATGCTGATCACGTTTTCCCGTGTTGTTTGGTGAGTGCTTTTCGTCTATGGTGCATTTAATATTAGTTAACTGTTCGTCGGAATTTCCATTTTCCCAGGGTGCATACTAAACTCGTGCGTAAACAACGGGACTTGCCTCCCAGAGGGTCGCTACAGTTACCAGTGCGAATGCACCGATGGATATGAGGGTACAAACTGTGAAACAGGTAATTCTGCTTTATCCTCATGCTTGAATGTGGAAGTATACGACGTTATGCCGATTTTTTCGCCTATGCATCCATTTCACGAATATTTTCAAAGGCTTTTTTCTGGGTAGAATTAATGGAAACTCAACTCTTTAACATTTACGTTGGGTGTTTTTTATGAGCAGTTACTAAGAGAGTCTGCATAGGCCTACCAAATTATATCCAAACTTTCTGTAAAACTGCAAGCTTTTCAAATGGAAATGTTGCTGGTTTCTTTGGTTTTATTCCCTAGTAGCAAAGACGTGAGAATTCACAGCATATCTTTCCTTAATTAACTCTTTTTTTAAATTTGACTTAGACAATTTGGTCCCTGGTTATCTCCACAGCAATAATCACTAAGACTTTTAGACTCTCTGTTAATGGGATGGTTCGAGTATCTTCACCCGGCCATCCGGAGGACTTCCCCTCAAATACTCGCGTCAACTGGACATTCGAGACAGACCAAGGAATGAAGGTGTTTATCAACTTCACCAACTTTGTTTCGTCTTACTTCGACAACTGGCAAGCTGGGGACGGCGCCAAGGCTGGGGCTGCAACTTTTCTGTCTTGGTCCAGAGCTAATGGCCGACCGCCTAACCTCCTATCCAGTGGGAATGCACTTTGGTTAACCTACCACGTTTCCTTTGCAGCGAGAGATGCATTTGTTTTCTCTGCCGCAAGCGTGCCTGGAAATGGTAAATTCCGCTTCGTATTTTGAAAACGTGGGAAGAAATAATTCTGCATTGTGATGATGTTTGTTCTCTTTCTTGCTTTCCACAATTGCAATTGTTTTATGTTTTGATCTGAAACGTCAACAAAGCACCATGTTAGCATTATGTCCAGACCAAAATTTAAGCTGACTTACTGCAAATTAGAAGAAAGCCCGAATTCCCCAAAGCAGCCCCTATGCTCAAATTTTGTTCATGATGGAGTGACGTGGAAGTGCCGTCATCTTCCCTGGCAATCAACAATTTGAATTGGCTTTAATTGACAGAAACTATCACATGCTCTTCCGACGAGTTCCACTGCGGACATTCTGTCTGTATCGATAGCTTCAGGCAATGTGATTACTCATTCAATTGCATCGATGGCCGAGATGAGCGCAGATGTGGTAAATATAGAAGTCTATATCACTTTAAGCAAAAGTATGGTGAATCCAAGGGAACATGGGGCAAAATAGAAAAGGTACCAAACTTTTTTTGTTAAGCCAGAAATTCCATAGCAGGTTACATACAGGACTTTGCAATTTTGCCTCACACCCCTAAAAAAGTGTCTCGGATAGTTTGGTTCTGGCTCTGCCACTAAGCAAATGCAGCCTTTGATGATAGCTTGGATGATTGATCCAATGTGCCTGCGCAAATGCTCTGTTGTTAGTTCCTGTGTGGAACGGAGCTTGCACGCGAAGTTTCCATCTGCAACATGGCAAAACTGGTGCCAGTTCTCATTAGCCAGTTCGGGAACGGTTTGTTCCCCCCTCCCCCCAAATGAAGCGAATATCTCAGGTCAACCGCCTGGAGCAGAAGCAACCCCTCACCAGTTGAAAACAGCCATGCTGGTGGGGAGTGCATTTCATATATTCATCCATAAACCAGCGAAATGCAGTTTCCACCAAGGGCAAATTGTGTCCTCTTTTGATCCAGCTTGGGGCTCACATGCGCACAAAGTCTGCCCAATCAATGTGACAATATGCACGGGTGTCCTCCAAAGACTGACTTTTTGAGAAACCAAAGGGGCGCATTCATTGAGCCGTTCAGGAGAACATTTTGCTGTGAGGACAAATAGAACATTTACAACATTCTAACAGGGAAATAATAAACTATATTATACTAAAAACACACAAGTAAGTGTTTGGCGGAAATCCTTGTCAAAATTGACATTGAAGTTTTTTGCTCACTTCCATTCTACTGATTCAATGATAACATTAAAAAGTAATGATTACAATATGAAAATATGATAACCTGATGTGATAACAGTCAAATGTCGGATGTTTGTGTTTCACTCGATAACGAGTATGTCGCCATGGTGAATTTGGTGATCTTTTCCGGACAGGTAATTGCAGCAACTTCGATTGCGCTAACAACGGGACATGTTGGCGTACTTCTTTCGGCGAGTTTGTTTGCGATTGCCCCGCAGGCTTCACTGGGGCTCAGTGTGAAACAGGTAGGTTAAAAATGCCGTCTTTACCGTGGCTTTCAAATGGTTATTAACAATTCGTCTCGATTAGAATAAATACTGGAGAACCGGACAAAAATTTGGGAAAATTTTAAATGAAGAGAATACTTTTCCCATCAGGATATTAATAATTATTGTGAAAAGGCATAATTCTATACCTTATTGCTCACCATTTGAGGAAGTTGCAATTATACTTTCTTCACAAGATTTAGTTGATGCTGAAACTAGGGAAATCTTACCGCTCAAAATGTAGCTTTTCCTTCGCAAGAGGCTAGTTACTAGCCTATCCCTGGGCAGCTATAAGTATTGCCTAACGCCAAATCATATTTTGTTTACTGTTTTAAATCAAGAGCAAAACACTAAACACATATAAAAATGAAACTAGTCTTTTTTATATTTCTCTCTTCAGAAATTTTCCAGTATGATGTCATAGTCAGTGGAGACGACGTACTTGCTCTGGCAACGCCAGGCTACCCAGTCCACTACCATCACAACGTCAACGTCACATGGAATATTAGAACCGATGCCGACCGCCAAATTCACGTCACATTTGCCGATTTCCAAACCGAGCGGTTTTGGGACGTCTTGCTGGCTGGAAATGGAGACTTCAGCCCGGCCAATGTGTTCTTCAATTGGAGCGGTTACAGACAGCCTCTAGATATTGTGTCGAACGGAAGTTCAATGTGGATGACATTCCTGTCCGATTCAACCGTTTACTACCGTGGTTTGTCTTTCCATTTGAGAAGTATTTCTGCAGCGAGTAAGTATTGTCTATTATCCTGCTCATGTAGATAAAACCTTTCCCATTAGACCCAGCCGCTTGATAAGTGTTGATTAATCACCTTATGACAGTCGATAAGTCGTATACAGGGTTAAAATACATGTAAAAGAGACGTCAGTACTGATGCCTAAGCAAGAAGTTGACCAGGCTAAATGGATGGGACTGTCGGTTAATGAGAGAATCAAATGAGAGAGTGAAACGGCTTATTAGGGTCACACTGGACTCAACGAATGCTACTTGTGGTCTCCTCAAGGTGTGGTCCATAATGGCTGCTGACTGTTCCTTCGTATGTTAGAATCAATGAGTTTCTTGTAAACAAAGCAATGGTAGAAAGCGTTTGGCTGGCTTGATTTTGATATGTTTGGGACTTTAATGTGACAGTGCGCAAGTGACCGTGCATTTTCCAAACCCAAGTTTAGCTCCGATACAATAGACTGATTGCGTCCCCTAAATCACGTGACCTATGGTGTGTTTAAACCCCATAGCAATTAACATGTGCTTTGAGTGTTACATGTTGTTTATAAACAATACAGCCAAGTTAATTGAAGTATAATACCCAGCGCATCAATATTCGGAGTACGGTACCTACTTTCGGCCTAATGATTGGTAAATGACACGTATGAAACACTTTGCTTTTGGTGGACGCTGTGTTTGTTGATATTTAATACCTACTATAGGTCACATGACTTAGTGGACGCAATCGGCCAATTCGAATTTTGAAACCTATTAATTTCAGGTAATTTTTCGTGTTCTGGGAACAACTTTGATTGTGGTCACTTCGTTTGCATCAATGAGAGTTTGGTATGTGACGGTGTAGTCGACTGTGTCGGTGGAGCGGACGAAATCCATTGCGGTAAATATGCATTGTTGGACAACATCAAAGGACATCTTCAAATTGATAACAGCAAAGCCTTCGTCTAGGAACAGATTTTTGAAATAAATAGTGAACTTGCGATTATTTCCATTAAATAAGTAGGTCTTGAAAACGGTGTCGTGGCTGAGTTTTGTGATTAATCCTGTGGCTGATTAAAGGACGACTTCAAATTCTGGGTATAAAGAGATCTTCAAACGATTTTTTGGTTGAGTGGTGTGATAAGGGACTGGATTCTGAAAGATCGCAATGGCTCTAATTCTATTGTACCCGAAGCTCAAGGAAGTTAGTACTGGTCGAACTCCGTGTTACCGACTTTCAGGTCTAAGTAATTCTCACCCTTTCGCTGATTTGTTTTTTCTAGATCACAGTTCCACTGTATCCCCAAAAAGATATTGAATATGAACAACTTGAATCTGTGGAGGAAGGCAGCTTGTAATTGCTGGCAAACAAAAATTACAGAAATTTAGTTGAACAAATAACTAAGGCCGGGACGAATTATAAAAGCTTTTCCGAAATTTGACACCGATTCGCCGGCAAAACCTAACTCAACTTTGTTGGTCAAGCCGAATCAAGACTATGGGTAATCCGGTCCGTTGCCCAAAACGAACAACAAAATTAAACAAATACATGAAAATATGGTGGCAATAAGTTTTGTATTGACAAATACCGGATCTGGAAATAACTCGATTTTCCCATAGTGTGCAGAATTTATGTTGAAATCTTATTAGAGTTGAAGACTGCATATGGGTGCTAATGATGGGCATAAGATGGAAACTGACAGTCATGAAGGTTTGTGCTATGTCAAAAATGATGATAAACTGTATTTTAGATTGTCGTCTACTTTGCATCTATTGATAGTTGATTAAAGGTCACTGTTATCTTGGCGTATAACAGCACTGTAGTAATTCTGCATCCATACCTGAGAATTTACGACAAATTGACGTCATATCTTTTTTCAGATCACTGTTCTTCGAGTCCATGTCTGCATAATGGGACTTGTGTAGAAAGGCCCCTTCAGGTCGGCATTGAACCGTTCTATTGTAACTGTGCTGCGCGATTTACAGGTGCAAACTGCGAAACGGGTAAGTGGTTGCATTTTTTTTAATAAGAGTAGGTAGATTATTACAAAAAATCGTCATAGTATCTCTATCTCATTTAATATTCCGTACAAGGTCGAAAAGCAGGAGCCAAACTTTCAACATATAAATTCCTGTAACTTTATTTTTATGTTTAAAGCATACAGTCGCGATATGTGATCGGATGTGTGCATGTTTGATGTAGTGTAGATGGCACATTGTTTATTGGGAGTTGGAACCTACTGGTATTGTTCGTACATGGGAGGGGGGTAGTATACACTTCATCGGTTTATTCATCCTTCCAACCGTTAGACGTAGCCCCTACAAAAATTGCAATCAGCAGGGAGTGGCGGGTGTTGACGCCCAACTCCCTTTGGATCTGCGCCTGCAGGATGTTTCATAGTTGAGTTCCATTTGGAAAATTAAGGCCAAATTGTTGTGAGTTGGCCATCAATTTCACTCAAAAGCTAACAGTTTCGCTCAGAGTTAAATGGCAGATTTGTGTTACAAGCTCAAATGCTCAAGTAGCATTGACTCGTTCATTTTCGAGTGCCTGTAAAAATTCTGTGCAATATAGTTGCGGTGAATTTAAAAAGAACATGATGGATACAGATACATAGGTCTTATCTCATTGAAACATGAAGGAATGAAAGAAGGCGTTTAACTTACACCTGGCAGTCAGCAGATGGAATAAAATGTGACAATCGGTCTCAAAAAGTAACTGACGTAGGCCTACGTTTGTTTCCTTCCTCCAGATACGTATCAAAGAGTCGTTCTCAACGGAAACGAAACTATAACAACGAGGAATTCGATAGGCTCAACACAACAGTCCCTGGTTTGGTTGATCAGTGCCGATGTCGACCGGAGGGTAGTCCTCAAATCGCTCTATTTAAACAACGAAGTGATGTCTTTCCTCAGGCTGATTGCTGTTGGTGATGGACACGATCCCTTTGGGGGTGGAATACCTTTCTACCAGCACTTTGGGGAATATGAGCGGGGCACTCCTGAATTGGTCTCAAGTGGGAATGAAATGTGGATCTATATGGTTTATTTGCCTTTGTTTCCAAACCCACCAAGCCTGCTGCTGACCGCCTTCCTGACAGTGTCAACTGTGCCATTGTCACGTGAGTACTATTATCGTGTGTTGGATGCTGGAATTTCATGGCTCTTCATAAAAGTATCCCTTATGCAGTAGGAGATTTCAAATACAATGCCTACTTGAATCCTGTTCCTACGGATCGTAAACCGTGGGGTCATTGCTTATAAGCTACGCCCTCGTAGAGGTGCACGTGGAAGTAACCGAAAGAAATTATAGTAACTGAAAGACTAGAGGTGGTGGTACAAAGTGGGGTTTCAGCCAATGACGCGTGTGTATGACTAGTCTTGGTCCCAAGACCCCCCGCGATTCGAGACACGGACCACTCAGGAAAGTCTTTGTTTGACCATGGGCGGCGACAGACTACGGTATTTATGGTAGGATATGAATTATTCATATCACGTAAGTGATGATCGGCAGAAGTTAAGAAACATCAGCAACATCATGTTTAACATGTTTTTTCATACGCTTGTCTTTCTATAGCCTGGGGCCGTAGCTAAAAACTTGCGACGAGCCATTTTCAATTTTGCATTGTCGCGCATTGTCCCACACGGTACGGTCACGATGTAAGTCTCCGCACGCTTTACCACTGTGATTTCTGTCCATTTCTTCCCGAACCGGAAATGCACCAGATGAATAAATCAACAAATATTTGAATATGGGTAGTTGTTATAAAAAATCTATTAGCGTGTCTGAAAGGCTTGTTACAACCACCTTACCACAGTATTTTCAGACCTGGAGACCAGGATCCCATTCTTGTTTTCAACTATAGACTGAGTGACGTCATGAACAATATGAATAATTCAAGACTCGTAATTTAACATGCTTCCACGCTCTGATAAAATTAGTGTGCAGATCATCTCAGGCATTTTAATGTTGTTTCTTTGGCAGATTCGATGGTTTGTTCGTCCAGCGAGTTCAGCTGTGAACGCTATTGCATTGACACGCTGTACGTGTGCGACGGTGAATCAGATTGTGCAGATAGACGTGACGAACAAGAATGTGGTAAGGATCTCCCCAGTTTTTTAACTCCGATTTCCCGATGTTGTGCTTGTTTTATAAAGCAAGCGGACGGTGGGAACGAAGCTGCACCGTGTTTCGTGGTCTGGGGCACAAGATGTTGGTGCTCATTAATGGCTTGCACACATAACGCCCACTAACGACTTCAAGGTTAGACTGATGGGTGTGTTTAAAGTATTGTGAAGTATGGTATCCAAGCACGCTAACCACCGATATCAATTGGGAAGCAGTCGTTTGTTATTACATTTTACATTAAGGGGTATAATTTAAACGGAAGGCTACGCCCTCGTTGGTGCAAAGACGTTAGTGCCAGCGTGGCGCCAGGAAATGTACAAGCAAATGCAGTTGATCACTACTGATCACTGACGCTTTGAGCAAGGTTGTGTTTTTCTTGGCCATTGCTTAAGTTTGCTACCAGTAGCGAATTGTGCCTGCTTTCTACATCGATCAACAATTCTTTCCTATATATGGTACCTCAATTAACCTTGTACATGTGTGTACTTCTTAATCAGGACTAAAATTCACTACATGGACAATCTGGAAAGATTTAAAATATATCAACTTTTAGTACATCCAAGTATTCGAACGATTTTCATTAACCCTAACCCTTTATGGTGTACCAAAGATCGTATTGAAATTGGAGGAATAAGGGCTGTCGGAATTAAGCCTATTACACAGTATTGAAATTCAAATACTTTCGAGTCAAATATTGTTGAGCCAGTTCTCCAGTGTTTAGATGTCTTCTCCGTTTATGAAAGCTAGTTTTGTATCTCTTCAGCATAGTTTAAGACTAAGCCGGGTTGACTTCCATTTCTCTCGGCTTGTTGGCGTAGTTTGTATTGATCGAGGCTATGGTGTAAACACAAACGTTCCCTTTCTATTTTTTTCAGATACCTGTTCGCCAAATTCGTGTCAAAACAATGGAACTTGTGTCTTGATCCCGGGTGCCAACTTCTGGTGCCTTTGTCCGAATTCCTACGCCGGCCCGCACTGCGAGATTGGTAATTAACTTCTAGGAGCTTTCGGGAATAGTTTTCAAGCCTTACAATTTACGACAATATCGACCCGCTACAATTTATTAACCACCGATTGTGTTTTCCCATGGTAAAAACGTAAAGCCCTGTGTTCTGGTAAAATTGTCCTGTGGATAACTTAGTTGCTATCGAATTCGTCCTTAATTGTCTGAGCTCGTATTTTATTTTGATAGTAGCTGCCACAAATGCCTATCTATTAAAAGCCATTCAAATTTCAACAGAAAGTAGTGCAAAAAGTATAACTCTGATTTGAGCTTTTAGACAAAATAACTAGATGTGTATCGTCCTGACAAGCAAAATAAGCGATAGATAACAAATCGGACACTTTAAAAGCTACAATAATAAGTTTTATACTTTGATGCTTCTATCCGACCACTGGTCCGACATAAACAGCACAGTTTTTAATTTTTAATTGACCATTTATGTTCCAGTTAACCTTATTTTCAATTTCTTGAGATTTTTTGGGTCAGTTTTTAGAGCCTTGCTTGGTTCCCATGAGCATGCCAATTTGCATATTCAAAAGCAAAAGCGTGATGCCATCCTAGGCACATAATCTAAATGTTGCATTACTTTGTGCACAAAAACTGCTACATATATTTTTTGTCAGTTTCCATTTGTAGCCAGTATTGTTAGACAAGTGAGCAACCTTTTGTCAAAATGCTTTCAAATATCACATTTTGGGTTCAAAATTTAAAAAATTAACTGATCACTGATACGATGTCTTATCTGAGTAGAATTCCAGTAACAACAGTGCCGAGTAAAGCGTGGACAGATCTTAAAGAGCGAAAACACGTTATATCTGCTTTTATCTATTCAAGTAAATATGGAAGCATCCAAATCGAATGCAGTGTCATTTTTCTTCAGATATCAACTATAACAAACTAAAAAGGGCTTTTTTTCTGTTCTTGCCAAGATGCGACTTCTGAGAAAACAGAGTAAATGAGGGGAACCCTTGCCCTGTGTTCCTAGTGGACAAACCTTTGTGCATGCGGTTTTTCTAAGAATGACGCAATCATTCAGAATTCGCATCTTGGCACGAACAGAAAAAACCTTTTTAGTTTGTGATAGTTATAGACAAATGACACTGCATTCGATTTGGATGTTTCCATAATTATTTGAACGGATAAAATCAGAGATAAAATGTTTTCATTAGAAGTGCTATTTAATGATAAAACGTTTGAGGCGAATGGATACGTTGGGCATGTTTTTTCCGCCTCCGTTGTTTGTTTCTGGTCTTCGTCCGGTTACGTGGATTTCGGTGTTTTTTTTCTGGAAGTTCTGTGGACCTCAACGTACTAGGCCTACCGAGAAGACTTTTGGTAGGGATTATGTTTTTTCTGGCCTAGGAAAAATTCATTCCATGGTTCATTTTAAACATTGCAGGAAGTTAGGTACCGTACAGAAACTGAAATCGAAAAAATAAAAGTGAGAAAAATATACTGAAGATATCCGTAAGATCTGTGATGCATCAAAGTATGCCATTAGAGGTAGGTCTTTAGCATGCTCACTTTTAACAATTGCTGTTGTGTTTTTTCCAGAATCACATTAATCGTTAGAATTTTGGATTCCATAGAAACGGAATTGCGGTTTCAGCTCGCTGCCAACGAGACGATTACCATCGAGCTCGTCCATGGTGACACCTACAAGAGAGTCTGGCTGATCCACACCATAGCAGATTGGAGGATCCAGATTGCGCCGGTCGGCACCAAATTAAGCCCGACCTCCCGGGTGAGCATCGGCGTTGGATACGGCAGTAACACCAACAATGAGTCGTCAACCATCTTCAACGCATCCTCAGTTGCACAGATATCACTTCCAGAGTTCTACTCCCAAGGGACCGTCATGTGGCTGTCTGCTCGTTCCAACCGGAGTCCTGCAACCGACAGCATTGTCATCGCGGTCACTAGTGTTCCCCTCTCGGGTAAACCATTTTGTCTTGTCTCAAGTCGAAAGTTTGTGTTTTGTATTCACAAATATTGGTATCCAGAGAAATCTAAACATTCATGCAGTCAACACGATGTCCTCATTCGGTACACTTTAGACTCATTTTGCTTCGTGTGCCACGCAACCAAATCCTCCTAACAACGAACACAAAGAAAGAAGCGAAGAAGTAAGACAGGCACAATACTACATGGGAAATATCAATCAGCAATGTTGCATTTTAAAGGAATTCGTTTTTGGAGAATCTGGTCTTCGTGCCAACTGTTCTACATTGAAATACGGATGCAATGTTTAGAAACTATTGTGTATTGTATTGTTTTCAGAAATGACTATTTGGAAATAGAAAGATGAAACCAAGTCGACCTAGTACACTTTACACTTGTTATGTTCAAAAGCTCCAATAATTGGAAACATTTACAACGAAACTCTCGTTTGATTAAAAACTAAAACATTCGATAAAGCTTTTGTCTGCTTTCTGTTATTGCTTTACTCTTGTATTTTCGGAGTGTAATAAATTGCATCTGATTGTGCGTTTCCATACAACTAACTAGAACACGTAGAATTTCCAAACAATCTTCTGACAATATTGGCCTAGCTGCTCCGTTGGTTTTCCGTCTTGTTATAAGCCTGGATATTCGCCGTTATTTAACTGTTTATCAGTGGTTCGCTCAGCTTCACGAGAGGAACATGTGCGACTATTATTTTGTGATAAAAACTGTTTCTGTCATTTGTTGCCCAGCGGGCGTGAACTGCTCCTCACAGAGGTTTGACTGCGGCGGGTACTGCATCCCAGAGAGTTGGCGCTGCGACACCATCTCAGATTGTGGCGATGGGCGTGACGAACTTGGATGCGGTGAGGAGAGTATGCCAAATGTCAATTCGAAAATAGCTACCCGGGTCGTTTTTAAATGCCGTGTGGCTACAGTAATTTGTCTTATTATCGCCTTCGCCCAGTTACACGCAGACGATTCCATGCAGGATGACACTGTTTGTTTTTGTATGCACAAGTAGCACTATCAACTTGCATCGCACTTTAAAGCTTCCTGGGACCAATTCATACTCTTGGCGAATGCAAAAACTAAGAAAATTGGACGTCACTGGAGTTACCATTAACTCAATGTTTGCCATTTTCCAGAGAAAATGCCTGATTTGACGGCATTACTTCGCGATTGTGTTCGCTTTGGCGCCAGGCATTAACTGGACTGTAGGCCGATTTGTGACATTTACCTGAGTAAAAGTATGTGTCTATAAAAGGCAACTTATTCTTTACCACACTATGTCATTTCCATATTTGTCATGTGTAGGCCTAAAGATTGTATTAAATGTGGGAATCTGGGTAAGAAAGTCTAATTTGCAACCTCCATTAGATTGTTTTGTGATTTTGTTTTACCTCCAAAGAATACCAACCATTGGTTGCTCCTTCTGACCAGTCGGTGAGCCTGACTCCCTGGGCTTATCGAGCCGACCTCGGTGGTGCTCTCTGGATCCTGGCCGCAGACCCTGGAAGGAAGGTTCTGGTGAGCTCGTTCAACTTCACCGGTGGCGCGCCAGTCAAGTTCTTTGAAGCTAGGGACGGGAATGGCACGTCCCCCGTCCTGTTGAGCCTTGTGTCGTCCTCAAGTCACCCAGTCCCCGCCATACCAGGGTTGCTGTCGAGCGGGAACAAAATGTGGATAACCGTCGGGTTTCAAGGAATTATCACACCCACTAGGGTGTCCGTCGTTGCATCTGGTGTTCCGGCAAATGGTAAGTACCCTTGGAAACCAACTGCGGAAGAGTTAGGGAGGAGAAAACATTCCTCAATGAAAAAGTACTCTTAACTTTTTACACGTTTCATACATTTTGATTGATGACTTCCTTTTTGTTGTCTCATGTAGCACCTGTAGGAAATAAGCCTTAGATCATCCCATTACTTGTTAAATCATTTGTAGCCTATATCAAGAAATCATTTCACCACCCCAAAAAAGTCCCTTTATGCAAAAATTACCTTTTCCATGCCATTGTACTTAATGCACTCATGAATGAGCCAAATGACGAGTGAGCAAATCAGTTTTTTAAGTGCTTAAAATTATGCTTTAAATTCATAACCACTAGAAACCCTGACCTGTGCTGTGGGCGAAGTTGACTGCAGTTATGGTGTCTGCTTTGAGGAGAATTACAAATGTGATGGTCCTCCCCAGTGCGTGGACGGACGCGACGAACCGCCAAACTGTTAACTAGGAATTCGTTAAAAGTAGTGCTGAATGAAGACGAGGCAAAATGGTTCTCTTTGTTCTTATAATGTAACTCTGCCATAGACTCAACAAGTACACGTAACTTTCAAGAAGAAGAGGAATAACAGGAGAGTCATTTGCTCCTGAATGTGTCTGTTGTCTGTGGTTAAACAGTATAGTCTCATCATTTTTTAACTACTTAGATATGATAGTACCCAGAATTTTCTTAAGTTTATGTTTGTGTTTGATGTTTTTTTAAATAGAATGAGCATTAGCATTTTCCCAGTATACAATTTTAAAATACGTATTATCTTAGGAATAAACCTTCATGTATATACTCAGATTTCTTTTAAAAAGAATCAAGAATGCTCAGAATTATTGTATCATGTTATTTTATAGTGGATATTTCACTCAGACATTTTGCAATTTGATCTATATCAAATAAAAATCATTTTACTATATTTCAAATAAAGTTAGATTACTTAATGTCAATATTTTTACCCAGAATTTTGTGCTTTAACTAGGCTAAAGGCAAAACTGCTCAGCACTATAGAATAAATAAATTAATATGAAACAATAACCGATGCAACGAAGTACGTCCACTGACAATGATGTATTTATGTCACTTGACTTACCCTGTCTCTGAGTCAGAAACAGTTATGATGAAAATCACCCAATTTTGTTGGTATACAAACGCAATTACCGGAGTTACGTAATATTCGAAAAAATCTACAAAATGACCCGTATAACAGCAGAATTTTGAATTTTCTTGGTCCGAAAGGTGCAAATTAGAGCTGTATAGAGAGAGAGACAGGCTGGACCAGCTTCAGATTTTGCAAACAAAATGGGTCAAAGTGAGGCCATGCAAATTTCCAGTGCAATCTGCTGTAGCAGTGTGTGGTATTTATATCGCAACTAACTCCGCCTGTCAAGAGCTCTTGTGCAGTCATTTTGTACAATCTTTGGATGTAACGTACTAGTTATTCTGGCATTGATGTAGTTATTCTCTATAATTTTAACTGAAGAGATGAAAGTCCAGTCCCAAAGGACAATGACATGACCTAAATGTTAATTTTCATACACGTGCTGGGGCCTGACTAATATCGACCAATAATTGGAAATAGAAAATAAGAAAATTTAAAGCCACACAAAAGCCTTCAACCAGGAAATCATTTCATCAGATATATTCATGATATAAATATTTGGTAAAACCAATGCATAAGCTGATTTAGAAATTATCGTTGAAATCTATACTTACAAAGGCGACACAAATGCGGTGAGATCGGTTTGCTGCTATCGCCCTGTGTTTGTGCACAACGGCCCGATTCGGTCAGATGTCTTCACACTAATATAATCAAATTAAGCCTACGAAAACTTCTGACAGCACAGAAACCATCTCACGCAGAAATAAAACAGGTCATAATAGATCGAATAGATAATAAGTAATAGATCTGATTACAAAAAGAAAAAGTTCGTTTCTGCATACTTTCAAAATGTTTTAATTTTCTGATTAAACGTACACTGAATAGTTCAGAGGTGCTTATTTGACCGTTTTCATTCCAGTTGTTCTGTGTTACTTTATCTCTTGGCCGTGAAAATCGTTCAGTTTTTCTTCTAGTTTTCCAGGGTTTTAGAACCCTTCCAGTGACACCACCAGGTCCCATGCCTTTATTAGTTTCATTTTCTGTTCAGCACAATGCTTCATTCTGGCCTTGCTTTATTGTAAGAAATTCAAGCCTTATCCACACATGTCTCGTGATGTTTGTACACGGGTCCCAAAATACAAAGAAATTGTATAATGCTAATCGATACAAGTGTTAACAGAAAGCCATTTACCCCGTTTTCATCGTACTGTTCTCGAATTATACATTGTACATTTACTTATCTGTGGACAATTGGACAAGAATGGATTTCTATTTGACGTGATTGACGAAGACTGTGAATTGCAGTATCGTTTCTTTCCGTCTTCTCTCTTATACAGCACTGGGTTGGCGAGGCTACATTAACCGGCGTAAAACACCACTTTGCTAGATTGGGGCAGGATTCTAAGACTCTTTGTTATTGCAATGATGCATTCAATGCATTAACATAGTGCAATTATTCCGGCTTTGGCTTTCCGTGCAATAACGAGAGATTCCTCGTCTTTGGGTTTCCCGTTCCAATTTCGGGTCAGCTCCCAGCTCTCAGCTTTATGCAGTTACCCTGCCGGAGCTGTCGCAAAATTTCTCAAATTATCACACAACCTCTCTAACTTGCCTTTAATTTCTATCAATCACAATAAACAAAGAAGTCTGATAAAAGCCACTTTGCAAGATGTGCACTCAAATAGAATGACCCATAATAAAATGTACGGTTGCCCCAGTCCGAGCTACAGACAGCTTTGCCCTAAGTTTATGACTTGTTAAAATAAGCAAAGTTTCGTTGTACCTACTGGTGACCAGTCTGTTTTGTGCAGAATAACTCAATTACACGGAGGGCTGTGGCAGGCAAGTGGATAAATCAAACGGCGATGCAGTTGAAAATGCCAATCGTAAGCACGGATGGACACAGAACCAAATTCTCAAGGGAGGGATATTTATATTCGGGGAGGAAAGTCAGACTACTTTTGTAAGTGAGGCAAACTTGCGTCGGCTTTTTACACGCTCTGAGGAGGAGGAATAGTCGCAAAATTGTAAGCTTCTCATTATAATTTGAAATTCACACAATAACCTCGGGTGGTACGGCCCCTTTTCCACCCCACAAATCCACCAATGGTTACATTTGTAAATGTACAATAGTTTTTACACTGTAGGAAAGATACAACAAAACAAAACAAAACAAAAAAGGCCTATGCCAATGTCTCTTCACATTTAGCTGATAAGATGCGCTACGAGAAATAGTTTACCGATTCCGTAACGTGGAATTTGACTTCATCATGGGAGGAGCTATACCAGTACATTAAGCGTTTCGCCTTGATGTTGTATGTACTGGCAACTGTAAACGTGGGCACTTTAAAGAAAATGCCTTGCTCGTTTTTAACCATTCCTTTCGAAGTAGTCTTGGAGATTACCCCTATCCTCTTGCATGAGCTTAGATTTTCCAGAACAGAAATACCAAGTATACTATGGTTCATCAATAAAGTAAGATAAGCCGACGATGGCAAAATCAAACCAATATAATCCATTCCAAAAAAATATATATGCCGCGGAAAATCGCGCATTGCAAGGGTTTGCATATGCACTTGGACCTGTCCGCTCGCGTGTCATCTGCGCACGGGACTGCAGCAGGGATGAACAGTGCAAGTCTTTTAACTTCAACGCAACCAGCAAGGGAGTGTACTTTGACGAATACGAGGACACGTCTATCTACTCACTTACCGACACAAATGTCTGCATTGTAATGGATGCTGGTAAGTATAGCACAAGCTAAGAAAGTGATGTGGCTTACAAATAAATCAAATTACGTTCTGGCATCAAGTAATTTTTGCCGCAAATTTTCGCAATTGAATTTGGGATCCAAATTGGGACCTGTGTTGTTACTTTGTAGATCTGACTTATGAAAGTTGCCGTTACCAGTATCATATCTTGAATGGCCTGGTGTCAGTTTTTAGTTTGCCTTATCTCGATTCTAACTTATTGGTGTCTGCATGACCCTTCCAAAATCCCTTTGTAGAATTTGTATGGGATTTAACGAAACCTATCACTATGTGCAATTATAGTATACGTCTTGCTTCTTTGCCCTGGATGGCTGAAATATGACAATGGGGTTTAATAAATAATACTTGCATAAATCCCGATCATCTGATTGGTGGATCGTTGATCACATGTTATTGAATCATTCATTCTATTCCACCGTAAGCGTTGAATAGAACTACATTTCACTTGACTGGTTACCACACATATTTCATTCCCAGTAAGAAAGGGGAAACAATATACGGATGGGAACCAGTCGAACATTTCACGGTAATATCAGTGGACAGCACTTCGGACGCTGATTAGTTTCCCATAATGGCGGACGGATGAGAAAATACCGGATCCTGTAGAAGGTGATGACAAGAATTTATACAGGTATTAAATATAATTCGCTTACGTGCCACATGCAATTTGGCTGCCCGTACAAAATAGCGGTCAGTGTTTGTGTAATGAAGGAACTCAAGCGGGAGGGACTAGGAGTATCCCGCGGTAGTACTGTTAAACACGGTTGTGTAACAAACAAAACAATAATTCGCAAAGACTAACTGGAAAGGGATTGTTTGAATCGGAGGTTTAATGAATAAAAATTCTTAATTACATCAAAATTTAGTTTATATTAACTGCAAGAGTCACAATTGTATCCTAACACGGCAGATGTTTTGGAACTTGCTCTAGTTTCGAGTAAAGCTTCCAATAGAACGAACCTATAATTTAAAGTCAATTTATGAATTGTTGGTCAGAAATACAAGGCTACCAAAAATATGGGGCAAGAAGAACACCTGTCAAAAAAATAGACCCAGATTTTTCATGAAAGAATGGGAATGTTTCGAACAAATATGAAATGTAAAGTAAAGTAAAAGTTACACACTGAAAATACAACTCATAAACACCTCACAATCACATTTTATACAGTGAAAATATTAGCAATTACACTTTCCAACCCATACCTCAATAAACGTCGATCCCGGATAAAGTTTCGAGCACGGAACTAGTCAGAGGTAGGCTGTAACAAATCAATTTTAAATATAAACTAACCATCCCCAACATGACGAAGCAATATACATGTTGACACTAGAACAACATTTACACATTAAACAACAACTATAATTAATTAGAATTAATAGTTTTGGACTCACCTAAGCATCATAAAGAAAAGCTAAAAAATCCAAAGACGAGTTGTAACCGACGACAAGACGACCCATTGGGGGCATAACTATAATCCCCGACCAAAACGGGAAATTCAGGAACGAAAACGAAATGACTAAAAAAAAAGGTCTTTGTGCCATGGTGGTTGGTGCAAGAATGAGCCCCACAACCAAGAGTCGGTTATAAGGCAGCACACCCTCTTGAGCTCAAGTATGCCATTACATAATCAAAAGGCATGGCCTAGCTAACAGATCCAGCCAAACTAATAGCTCCAAGAATGTCATTCACTAAGAATCAGCCGGTATGCAAATTAGATGCCACACAAATCTAAATAAGTGACCAATTAACCTGACAGCTCAAGTCGGTTGGTTACATTCGTAAACAAAAGAGAGGTCAATAACGCTTGGTCGGGCACTTCATTCAGACATTTTGACTGGTAACTGCACCTTCACATTATGAAACCAGTGAACAGCAACACAAAAACTGAATTGAGTGAAAAACAAAGCGTTCCTTTAGGTCTTGAATTCCTTTTGAATTTGTTAAAGATTTAAATATTCGAGTTATTGGACATTTCAGCGACAGTTCCCTGAATCTTCTCTTATTTTACATGTTACATGGAGGTGTGTTATATGAAACACTTATGGACTGGCTTAATTTGGTAAAGGAAGGCCTCAGGAAATAGCATCATCTCCTGGCCACTCCCAGTCCCTCAGGGCGGATAAACCTGCACTAATAACTATCTCAGACAATTTCCCTATTCAACAGCGTGCAACCTGACCGTGTATTACATTGATAATGCCCGCTGAGAAGTGATAATGCCCGCTACGAAAATCAGGTGCTTGCACCTGGAAACGAGACAGTTTCATTGATTCTGATTAATCAAGAGTCTGTGAGAACGTTGCTCGCCACGCGCTCGCCAAGTCCATAAACGAGATTCTTTTGGACAACTTGCACAAGGAATATACCATCACATAGACGGGGTGTTCGGGAAAATGAAAGTAAAACTCTAGAATAAAATCGTTGGCAATCCATCTTTTGAATCTCTGAATAATAGGTTATTTATGAATTGGAATAAATATACGTCGGGGAAATTGCTATTTTTATATGCGCCGGAGCTTGGTCTGGCCAACTGGCTACTTCCTGCACCATTTTTCATTTGTAAGAAATCGAATATTCATCAATGTTGACAGCTCCACCTCTGGAATGGTGCTTGGTGTCACTCGCTTGTGACCGTGTGCGAACCCCAGCAAACCCAGCCAAATTACCCCAACGTCCAGCGCTCAGTACATCCAGATAAATACCACCCTCGGGTGATCGGGGTTACAGTTTGTAGGAAAGTATCAACCTCGGTTGCTTCTGCTGCTTGACAAAAAAGGAAACTACATGCAGGTATGCCCAGGTGGAGAAGGGCAATAGGAAGAGCATTCATTGTACAGTGAAGCAGCTACAAGATTCCAGATTTACAGGAACAGCATTTTTATCGCTTTCCCTGAATTTGTCTTATTCAATGTAATCTGTACAATGCTGTTGTGTTGGACCAGCTATTTAAGGTTTCAAGCCTGGCTTTCGTTGTTTTTAATATGGCTTCAAATTTCTAGATGTAATTACTCACAAATTTTAAATTATTCATCAGCATAACTGACATTAATTTGTATGACTCATTTTATTGCTTTTATTTTTATTCCCAGCCTCTCAAAAGAAAAAGTTACCCTCGCTTTCAATTCAATATGGCCGACACTGTGAGTAGGGCCCGTTGCCCAAAAGGCATATGAGCCAGGAGGGATTTTGCCGAAAATGTCAGTTTCATTCAACAAAGGCCACGTAGGCATACCAGTGTCTTTCTCAGCCAAAACCTTCAACAAAATACCCATAACATCTGACTGTTGCAAAGTTGTGGCTTATTGTGAACGTATCGCCTGGGTGAATATTCTGTGCGAAATAATGCAACAGTCGATCAGGACGTAGCCATCAATACCAGTGGTGTCCCTGTAATAGTGAGATTTTTGAATCAGGACTAGCTCCACAAAGAGTTCATTACAGTTAGTTTCTTGTATGATGGGGGACTAGGATGCAGAACAAGGCCTAATTGATTGGAAGAGACATGGATAATGATTCTAGAGACAGCGTAAATGGTCCTGCATCGATGACGCAAACAGGCGGCCAACTAAACGAGGTAAGTCGATCATGTCGTGACGATTACTGTTGGTTTACATTCAAATACCTCCCCTCAAAAAATGACATACCTCACACGGGATGTCAATAAAGTTTGTTCGGTTATCAAACTCCCTCAGTCACTTTTGGTTAGAATGTCTGTTATCATATACATGGTATGCAGTTACAGTGTTTGTACCTCAGCCTCTAAACTGGTCACCGACTTGCGACTCCACGTCGTGGAGATCAGAGCCCCGTGTGTGAACAAAGTCAAGTCAAAAAGCTCCAGACAGGTATCCTATCGATATTTGTATACTCGACAAGAAATGGTTGTAGTCGCCACAGAGCAGTGTTAACAGGAAAAACTGTTAGTAACCGGTTGACAGGTTAACAAAATTGAGCTTTAAGAATCTGAAAGGACATAGGCCACTAGGACGATACCTTTATACGAAGATCCAACACTAAGCGGATTACGACCTCTATAATGATTTAATAGAACAAAACTAAATTGATTAGGCCCCCTAAAATCAATTTTATGCGATCTGCATGGTAAAAACAGTTCAATTCTACGTTTGCACGCGATGAACACAACGACAATGGAGCAAAACGATTCGAAACCCAAAAGACAGTATCGGTGAAACCGAAGAGAGAAGTGACGAAAACTCGCTGTGCACTCGGACAGAAATGACGGNTTGGGGCCTACATGAACTAGTCAAAAAGCATGTGTTATGAATAAATTAAGACACTACCATTAAATGATAAAATACTTTATTCTCATAATTTCAGTTGGTATTTTAATTCAGATATGGGTGGAACAATATCTATGAAATTAACCTTAAGACCCATGATTTGTAACTTAGTTAACAAAGAGTTTCAATGTAGAATTATTCACAGTAGGAAATGACCTATGACCTACCTTAATCAGCATCTTCATTGTTGGAACGCCAGTGTCGAAGTACACACAAGCTGCTTTGGGCAATGCACAGTACATGCATGCCATGTCTATACGGTTTCGCCCCTGGAGAATTGCAGCACATGACCCCTGCAAATTTTGTGCTAACGAAGGTCCTGAGCTGATCAGGAACAGCCAAATAGGAACAGGAGTGGCAACGTTTTCATGAATATTCAGGAGGTGGCTATTCTGTTTAAGGTGTGGGGTTGTGCGCATAAATTTATACTTTACAAGCGGTACACGGCACTTCGTTGCACAAAACCGTACTGTTTTTAATTTAAGGTTTAATCCAACGTAGAATTGATACTATGGAGGCAGTGCACTTTTAGCAACTAGTTTGTCGCTGTGTGAAGTTTGGTTGGGGACAAATGTCATGGCAGATTGAGCGGAAAATGCTGAATTCTGCACTGTCAGCTCATCAGGTGGAAAAACTTACACGACAATGTAGGAAATTTTAATACCTTCCAGCCCATGCCAAAAGACACCGAATTCAGTTAGGAAATCTGGCGAAAAATTTATTATACTCACCTGGAGGAAACACAGGGTTGTGATCAGGATCCAGTAGTTAATTTATGCATACAGATCAACCAATCAAGTTAGGAGATTTGAGCAAATGAGGGCTTAGGCTGCGCAAACTTTTTGCCATTTGGAAGGCTTCTTACTCTGCTGGTTATGTTTGGGGGAAATTAAGTTCAGCTTCAGGTCTCTTTTTCACAGCCCTTTGTACGCAACACATTGGGGAAATCAAACTTGTCAAATTGCCCACCTGCACCCATCACCACCAAATGTCATTTGCTAGGTGTCAAATATATGTAAACAATCCATTGACCACCTCTGGGTTGAAAATGTTAAGCAAGGGCAGCATAGGGGTTTTCTTGCAAACAATAAAAGGTTTTTTCTGACGGGAATTCGTCAGACACAGGCTAAAATTTCTCGTGCACTATCATAAGGGCCAGTAAGTGTATTGCAGACAATGGGAATTTACCTGTCATGTAATGTGTGTGCTAGGACAATAGTTATAGTTCGTGGTGACAGGCTATGGTAATGGTTCCCTGAAGGTTCAACGGGCCATTCCTGATGTAGCTCATAGAGTTAAGCGGGGGAAATCCCGTGCCTGGATGGTTTGATTAATAGTTCATTATTAATGTTCATTCCAATTTATTTATCGGTGATGAGTTGTTTGGCCTGGTATTGCCATTTGTTAAGGCTATTTCGTAATTGGGTCTGGTGTGCCCTAATGTTTGACAAGTTTTGGTGTGCCTTGTGTATAAGGGCTGGTGTTTTCGATAACTTCCAAGTTTTACTGTCACTTTTTGAAACCCCACCAGTTCCCACTCAGATTTAAGTCCAAACATGGCGAGTGCTCCAAAAATCCTCGCACAAACTTGATACAGATTGTTCTCAGGGCAAACCCACACTGACCAACATGCCCTCATTGTGTTTGAGTAAAAAAAAAAACCAACAAATACCATCTAAGATGATTATTACACCTAACCCCACATACTGTTAAAAGCAGTTACATGCATGCAACGATGGGTCTTTGATCGCAGCAGGTAAGGACTGGGAATTCATGATCCTCCTAAACATCGGGCTAGCGATTCTGGGGTATATAACACTGAAGTTGGTTTTGGTTTGTTTTGGTCGTTTTTTAAATTATCTTTAAGTAGAAAGTCACCTACAGGTATGAGAACCACCAGTCTATAGCACGTGTTAAAAACTCTACCAGAAAAGTCTCAGACACGTACTGGTATTAAATATGAAAACATTGTAGTAAATTCCAATGAAACGAAGAAACAATGAACTCAATCAGTGGGTTTCGCTTCCCAAAGTACGAGGTGCATTCCAGAAATTTTGTGACTTTGTCAGGAGAGACATTTATGTATTTCAAAAAAGTGTGAAATTATTATCAAAGTAGGATCCTCCCGCCTCAATGCACTTGTTGTATCGCTCCAACAACTTTCTGAAGGCTCCCTGGAAATCATCTGAAGTAAAGGTGTCTAGGACCCTGGTCATAGCCTCTTTCATCTCTTCATTTTCTTCATAATGATGGCCCCTGAGGCTCTCTCTCGGCTTTGGAAACAACTTAAAGTCACATGGAGCAAGGCCTGGGCTGTAGGGAGGGAGTGGGATAGTTTTGATGCCCGTCTTGGTCAGTCAGCTGGTCACCATGATGGCATTAGGGACAGGTGCATTGTCCTGGTGCAATTGTCATTGCTTTATCCGTCACCAACCTAAGCAGCCAGGGAACAAACTTTGCACAAACCTTGTGCATGTTCAGATCTTGCTACGTCCACTTCAAACTGTCAATTCGTTTCTATAGATATATACACGGCGATCCTCATCCAGGAAATTGCGAACTTTCCCCACCAGGTCCGGTGTTCTGATGTCCCTCTCTCTTCCAGACCTCTCATCGTTCCCCAACTCCTCTTTGCCGTCCTTGAACCTTTTAAGCCTCTGGAGTACAGATCCTCGACTCATACAGGCTCGTCCATAAGCAGTCGGGAGCATTTCAGAGGTATCTGTGGCATTTTACCCAATTTGACACAAAACCTGATGGCATAACGAGCTTTAAATTGCCCTCTTGTCCCGACTGCATTTTTAATCTTTACATAGCTGTGACAAGGGGCATGTAGAAGGGTTTATTCAACGGGCTATTCCAGCCGTCTCCATCAAACTGGGATAACAAAAATCGTTATGCTCAATGGAGATATAATTAAGATATATAAAAATTAAAAGAATAAAGTACAAGTATAAGTGCCTCTCCTGACAAAGTCTCAAAACGTTTGGAAAACACCTCTTACGTAGAGCAAGTGACAGCCTCCTGGGTTTTGAAAGTTTGAAGACCAAAGTCTCCTGAAACAATGAAACACAGTGCCTTCAGAAAACTAGAGTTAACACAAACTGACATCACAAAGGAAATCTGAAGTAATCAGTGTATTTCAGGTTATTATTTGTATTATTGCTACAAGTACTGTTACAAATGGGTCATTAGGGAGACATCCTATGGTAAATATTTCAACCTTAGGGAGAGATCAGTCTCCCTAATGTCTCCAGCTACCAGAAGGAGGCCGACAACAGACCAACAAGCTTCACAAAAGAATAGCCAAGAGATGATTTCGAGCCCTTGGCCAGCGTTGGCTAGCTATGTACACGGTAATCTGCATGCATGTGAGAACGTTACTACCGTTTCAAGCTGTTTAATTGTTCAACCCGTCGGCAGGGTGCACATCTTATTTTTCGCACTTGATTTCACGGTGCATGCATTACAAGTCATATACAGAGACTTGCACACTTCAGTGGCTCCTGCTCACTTTTAGCAATCCATCGGTCAATGTTGGAAATTGTTTCATTTGGAAAAATCCAAATGGGTTCGGAATATCATCTGGGAAGTGCTGATAGGTTGGTTTTAAAACGATATAATCTGTTCCGTAAAGTTATACATGAACTGTCATCGTTTATTTCTTAGGAAGTTAAAACTTAGGTTGAATTGGAAGTAAATTGCTTTCATGCGAATTTAAAAAAACAACAACGTATGTCAAACCCTGTGATACTTGTGTGAAAATGCTCTTTATGATTGAAAAACCCTCAATAGTTTCACTGCTAAATTTGCCCCGAGGCCTGTGCCCACTTGCCTGATAAACATGTATTTATCAACATACCAGACTGGCTCTGAGTTTGACAAGTCGTGATTGAGAATGCTGTCGTACAAAGACCTCAACTTCCGTAGAGGTCTCAACACTCAGCAGCATATTTGCATCACAGTAGTACCGAAAGCGAGCGTTCCGCTTGGCAAAGTTTTCGGATGCCACGCGTTTGCCTTTTGTCTACTTCTCGTTCAGACAGTGCTATTTAGCCCGTACCGGACTGAATGTGATGCTGTGGGGTGCACCGCTGTAAATAGGCCAGAAAAAATTCTGCCGAGCTCATCAGTACGAAAGCCCTGTAGTGCCATCAAGTATATTTTTTCGAAAAAAAGTGAAGTATATTTTTTCCAAGTTTGTTTTTATGATATATATCTTTTTCCCAGTTTGTTTTAAGGCATGTATTTTTCCATGTGCCTTTTACGAGATTTTCGTGAGTCGGGGGTGTCGCGTGTGCTTTGGCATTCATTGCCCGAGTTCCGGCATGTCTTAAATGTGTATGTTCTTTTATTTTGAGTCGAGTTTAAAGGGTAAGGAAATAATACCGACCCAACGAAAAACACCCTCCTAACTTGCTGTACATTTCAAACCAAAATTTGTATAGCTTATTACAACTCTACAGGTTTTCTCAGACTCATCAACAACCCTTGATGCAGTGGAAGAATGTGGGAGAAAAGCTTTTTTGACTTTAGCACAAACTATGTCAGAGACAACATAAAAATTACACATTACAGATAAAAACCTTTATACACCTGGAAACATTTTTGCCACAATGAAATGTGTATTTACTTCATGGTATTGACATTACATTATATTGACATTAAGATTTAATATTGATAACAGTTTGCATCGTTATAAAATAGCTAAATCTTCTGAACACATCGATCCTCATAAGGAGATACAGTTTGATTGTATTCATTGTAAATTGATAAGGTTGTCTTTGCAAGTCACTTGTTTGGAAAATAAAGCTGTGAAGAAGTTTTACTTTTCTTCAGTGATCTGTTGTCTACACTTCCAAACATATTTGTACATGCATTATTACAGTATCACATCATGATGTGACCCCATACCGTAAGCATGTGGTCAAACAGGATGAAACAGTATGGACAAAGGGTCAAACACTTCAACCAACACCAACCCAATTGGTCTTTAGGTGTACCTGCTGCACCATTGCTCCCTGGGTGGTAATATTCCAAAAGGTGACACATTCCCCACAAAAAAAAATTAGGTTGGGCTAGAATTGTCCAAGAGACAATCAATCTTTGTACTACCTAAAACATACAAAATTGATATTCTGCATTTGTTACATTGTCCTTTCTAGGAGGAGTGAAAAGGTAAGAGTATTTTGATTTCTACTTCTGGAGAAGAATACTAAAAATGAAACTTTAATAGTATAACCTGCTCCAATGACAGCGTGACAACAGGTTTGCAAAAAGTGTCCATTATCTCTGTTGGCAATATAGCTACATGACACTGGACAATTACTTTAGATAAAAATCTTTGCAGAGGTTCTTGCATGCAAGCCCATGGACCGCATGAGACCATCCATTGTAAGGAAGTGCACCGAAACTGACATTCTGGGCTTTGTTTCAACGGATCAAATGCATGCACATCAGATTCAATGGAGTATTTCAGTTCGGAGAAAATGATACAGTACATACCTTGGCAAGATTCGTAAAGCAAAACTGGACTGACGACTTGTCAAGGAAGTCACCACTAAAATGGCCATTGTCCTTCAGCTCTTCGAACAAACTCACCCAGAATTGCAGGCAGTGTTTTCGGAGGACACTCCACCAGCATTCGATTCGCTGATTGCGCCGACTACTTCCTTGAATGAAATTTTTTGCTCCAGAAAATGTGTCATGTCCGTTTGTGCTGAAAAAAATACTAATTGAACACGGATTGTGCTGTTTTCAGTTCCAAGGTCGGCCCTAATTACCCTTGGGCATCCCCAAAGAACTGTTTGTTTGAAATAACCAGCGATGACATTAGGGTCACTGTTAGTAGAGTATGCTTCAACCCAAAGTACATTTCTCGAATATCCACCAATGCAGCAATTTATGCATATTCCATATGGTTTTAACTCTTTCTTTGAGTCTACATGCCAAATGAAGTTCGGACCTCTACTGCGGTGGATTCGTCGCCGCAGACGTCTCCTTGATCTTTCTTCCACGCCCTCGGGATCCAACAAACATAGCAGCTGACGTACTGTGTCCCTTTTTACATTAAGACCGTTCTGAATGCAACGTAGATGCATCCACCTGTATCCGTGAAGCTGCCCAGATTTCTCCAACCGGCGTTCAATAAAGCAGGCTACACCAAAAAGGTCTGAATAGTCCTTTCGCCAAAACAATCCCAGCCCACGGAGCTTGCGATGCAGGTGTCTTTTACTAATGTTTATGTTGTCATTAAATAAGAGACAAGCTATATTTTCATTATAACTTATACCCAAATTAAACTATAGACGAAGAAGGTCTAGCAGCATGACTGTCGAAAAACACCGCGTGAAGGAAGAATGTAACAAATAAACTTTGAAAGAATGGATTTCGTAAAAACGGACTTTGGAAAAAATGTATCTCGTAAAAACGAACTTGAAAAAATATACTTCACTTTCCGAAAACAAATACTTGATGGCACCACAGGGCTTTCATGCATCAGTAAGGTTATACACTCAAAACATTCTATTTTATGGAGTCCTGAGAGCCATGAAGTTGGGAAATCAAGTTGAAACAATATTATATAATAACACAGAACCTCTGGCTTGGACTTAATGGCTTTAAATTCTGACCAATTTGGATACAGCTTGGTCTGAAATTGGCACTATTTAGCCGTATTGCAGAGGGATGCATTTTCAAAAATTGCTACTTTTCCGGGCAGGGAAATTTCCTTCATATTAGGGATGGTATATTTTGGGTGAGAATTTCTCGAAATTTCATTGATCAACCCACTAAGATTGCAAGGAAAATGAAAGAGGACTTGTCGAACATCATTTTTCTGTCCAGCCTGGACACATGTGAACTGGGTCTGAAATTGGCACTGTTTAGCCGTTTTGCAGAGGGATGCATTTCCAAAAACTGCTTCTTTTGTGGGGAGGGAAATTTCCTTCATATTAGGGACGATCTGCTTTGGTGAGAAGTTTTCATAATTTCATTGATCAACCCACTAAAATTGCAAGGAAAATGAAAGAGGACTTGTCAAACATCATTTTCTGTCCAGCCTAGACACCTCTAAGAGTTGTGAGTATTTTTAAGATAATTTTGAAGTATAGGGAGTTATCACTGTTGTCTTTGAGAATTTCTTTATGGGGGAAGGAGTGCACCCTGTAAGACTACGAGTCAATGGTTCTTTTTGCAAACCGGAGCGAAATTGTTGGAAGGAAATCCACATTCTGTCGGCATGGTGCAAATTTCAGTATCTGGTTCGAGATTAGGCTGGCGCCGCTGTGAGATTCGGGATAATGCACTGCCATGCAAAGTCACGGGTTGTTGTGTGGCTCAGCTGTGGAAACAAAAGCCGCGGCGGGAGAATCTTATGAAACTAGACTCTGTTTACTTGACTTTCCTATGTTGGTCAATGCACAGTGGGCCCCCACTGGCTCCATGGGAAAGTGTCCATTTGTATAAAACAGTCTGTGGTAGGTATTTTTAACCCAATTTGTTTGGACATGAGTGTGGGACGTTTACACGTTTAAACATTTCACAAAAAAGTTCCAAATCCGTTTAAGATTTTCCCAAACGTTTAAACGGAGCCGCCCCTTTGAGAGGTTTAACGGTTGATTGGCACAATCTGGAGTTCTTTTCTTAATTGATGCCTGTATAATGTAGTGGTTTTCGGAACGTTTTTGTTTACTGGTCGGTAATATCAAAGGAATACCATGAATTCATCGCCAGAACTTGTCAACTATTTACATTGTCGACAATTGTTGTGCTCAAGGTTTACAATAATACGGTGGCACGTTTTAAGACGACCAAATGTTTAAACGGTACGGGAACGTTTTTAAACGTTGTTCAAATTATACGTAAATTCCACCCTTAGTTGACAATTACTTATACTGCTGAGTGGATGGTTATGACGACAGTTTTATTCTACTTTTGGGTAATCTTTCCAAATTTCATGTCGTGGAGAGTGCGTTTTATAGTCCAAAAGGGCCCACAGTGAATCTAGCGCACAATCCGCCCCGAGTTCAGTGGGAAGCAATTTAAAGAAGACGCAATTTACGAGCACCGGAGGTTTCTTTGGTGGGAACTGCGCTTCACTGGTGGACTAATTACGGTCACGTGACTGCCTACAAAGTGCAAGCTCCTCGCCAATACCGCTCTTTTCAACCGATGAGAAGGTACTTCTGCTCGATTCGGGTACAGATTTTGGCCAGCCCTGGTTTGAAGTGACAAATCATTTGCAGAAATTCTTCCAGTGCAAAGTTTAATTTTAAACATTTATCAGGTGATGGAGGCAGTGATTGTTATTTTCTTCTTGTAAGCCCTCCAAATTCTGTATTAAATTTCACTGCCCTCAGGGTAGCCCCGACGCTCTCCGAAACAAAGACCACCACGGGGAACCTACCTGGCAGAACACCCTATTGCACCTTGGAGGACCCGTGGCTCGTCTTTGGAAAAAACTAAGGACACGCAAGAAAGACGGAAGAAGAAACGTCACCAACGGGGCGACGTTGATTGTGGTTATCTCCGCTGTTCTGCTCACCGTCGGGCTGGGGCTTATTCTCACCATTTGGTCTCCTTTTGTCGCAAATTCTACCAAGAGACCCTCCATTGGTGAGCGTTTTTTTATTTAACTGCTCAGGCAACGCTTATATTGATAGAGAAAAATATATCGTTTTCATTTTTTTGTCTTGGGGTTCAACCTGATTATGAATCTTCAAATGCATGACGTCAAACTGGCAGAAATTACTTCTTGATAAAAGCGTAATACTTATGTTTCTGAAAGCATCGACGTATTTCTTTGTACGGCATTGCAGTATGACACTCTTGGGGTTGAAAGCACCTTGTCATAAGCTTTTATTTGTCTCTGTAAATCATTTTTAATCATTTTATTTAATTTAAAATGTAGATGGGCCTATGCCTGCTCCCGACAGTGCCACATTTGAAACACCTGTGATTGGTATGTTTCCCTGTTATCAGTAGAGTGTTACTACTAACCCTTTTTACCTTTTTTCTAACTTTCTGTAGATTGCATACTTTAAATGGTCATGCAGCACATTTAGATGTTGGTAAATATAATATTTTCGTAGGGTGATGGTTTTTATCCGGTGACTGACGAGAGAGTTTGACATTTTGTTTCATTTCTTTCATGTCAAATTGTTAAACTTAATTCAACTTTAAACTTCATAAGCATAAATCTTCCATGGAGTTTCTATTTTTATCATAACATGAGGAAATATGTAGCCTTTCACACCACGATTTTCTACAGCTGTAGTTTTCCTCGTTTGTTTCTCCCCGCAGGTCCCGTTGAAGTGAATTTGACCTTAGAAATCGACCAGAAATTCAAAGAAGAGTATTACTACCCCACTTCGGCAGGTTACAAAGAGCTAGAAGCCATGATTCTTACAACGGTAAATCTTTTCCCTGACTGTCCCACCATCAATGGTCTGCACAGATCTGATGATGGAAAGTGATCGTTATATGTACAATGCCTCTGTTTCGACCTTTCCTCTGAGGGCAACTTTCCTTTTTACTTCCCGAACCATTACCGAAGGGAGTCAGAGATCAAATCCTATGGTTCGCCTGAGGTTAACCATGGGCCATAAAGGAAATGACTGACTTTGAAAATTCCAGCGATTGGAGTACGAAGTTAAGAGTGCGTCGAGAAGAAGAAAAATTTTAAATGTGACATTTTTAACCTGTCGTCATTGCAGATTGACAGCATATTCATGAACAGTGACACGAGTAGTGCGTATGAAGGCTCGAAAGTTGTTGGCTTCCGGTGAGTTAAAGAAAATCACGTCGAGTCGGGCACTCTGTGATGTTTTTCACTGTGATTGTCTAACTGACTTTAGTAATGTGAATCATAATGTGAATGTGAATTTCGCACATGGTGTACCCACAAACCCTTTTTTGTGTGTGTAACACTCCCACCATGCAAAGCTTCAAATCTTGC